GCGCCACATAAATAGACACACAGCTGTTGCATTTCATTTACTTATTTCCTTGCAGTTTACGTAATCCCTTCATGATTGCCTTTAGCTCTTTAGCCAAAATCAAAAAAACCAAACTTTCATTTATGTTGCAATAACAAATTTGCGGTTCATTTTGTTGCCACTCTTGTTGTGGATTGTTGTATTAGTTGTAGTTTTAACTTTGTTTTCAATAGCATTTCAAACAGCAGTTATGTAAAAATTAACAGCATTATGCGTGGAAAATAGGACATGGCAGCTGCTAAGCTATTACTGCTTACTAATATTAATATTACTGTTGTTGTTGTGACACGCTTTCGGTTAACGTTTGCGTACGCATGTGCGTGTCGAATTGGTTACTATTGCCAGTTTAGTGTTGACAAATGTTTGGGTGCGAAGCTTTTTAACAGCATTGAAGTGTTTGACAAAGTGACGTCAGAACAACTTCTATAAACCCCAGATATTAGAAATTAATATGTTGTTCTATTATTTTTCTTCAAACCGGTTTAGTATAAATTTTTTAATAAACTATTGCCGCTTATCAAATCGTATATATATTCTATATTACAAACATCCTTTCTTATGCTTTCGTTTTACTAATTTACAAAAACCCTTCGGTAGAACTTCTATATAATCGCCTTGACTGCCTTCTAATGTTTGTTTTTGTTCAGAATCTCACCAACACCAAAGCTTGGCTTTTTCATAACGCAAAGATTTTTCAAACGTTAACAAAATTGGTTCATCAAGTCTCTTAACACATTTTTTATAAGTTTTAAAAAACCTATAATTAGCATAAATGTGCTCCGCAATAATAAAGTTAGTTAAGCTTAGACTCATAAAATCCCACGTTTCTTATGTTACACAAATTCTTCTTTATTTTTCCCCAAATTAGCAAATTTGTTAAATAAAACCCAATGGGCGCAAATAAATGTATACAGACAGAAAAAATACGCGAATTTCACTACTCTACTTAAATACAATTTATATAACAACAACAACAAAAGCGTAGCGCGACTTTCACGAAAACTGCAAGCAAAAGTGCAGAAGAGCGAGCTTTCTCCTCCGCTCCGCACTCCCCAGCCCAGCACTTCACGCAAAAGCGATAAAAGGCAACAGGCAAGCAAATGGACGCAACGAATCGAATTTGCCGTTTTCGGTGAAAGACAAAACGACAAAACAAACGGCGCGAAAAAAGAAACGGACAACAACACACACGGATAGACAAACAGACGGGCAGATGGACAGACAGACTGTAAAAACTTGAGCGTGGGAGTTTTTAAATTAATATGCGTGTCAAAAACTGTCGACATGGCCACAAACATATGGCGATGACTGTGCGGCAGAGGCGAGTGAAATTGTGTTGCATGAGAGCAGGCGAGCGATCGAGCGTCTTTGGTGGGTGGGTGTTGTTGTTGTTGTTGCTGCTGTGCTGCTGCTGCTGCTGCTGCATTTGTACCGGAAGTGAGAAGTGACGAGTTTCTCTTTTTTGAAATCATTTTCATTGGCATGAAAGTTCACATTATTTAAATTAAATTGCCGTCGGTGGCCGTCGACTTCGCAGTGTCTTCTTCTCCTGCTTCTCTGGCGTCTTCGCGTTTTGTTGTACAATTTTTATCTTTGCATCGACAGCGAGCCGCCGCATTTATGTAAAAGAAAAGCGTTTCCTTTTGCTCAAACGTTTTTCACTTCAAGCGCGCAATTTTCATTGTTATTGTTGTTTTTGTTGACGACTGTGCCGCGTTAAGCGAGTGAAAGGAGCATGTTGTTGTTGTTGCTGCCCCTGCTGCTGGCGTCAAAAATTGTTGGCGTTTTCACCAATAAAACAACAACGACAACAACGACAACAAAGACAATCTCATGCAAGTGAAAACTCATGCGATAATTTGTTGTAAAAATGAAAATTTTCACCATTTTTATTATTGCCTTTTGTTGTCGACATTCGGCATACGTTTGTTGTTGTTTTTGGCAGTCGATTTTGTTTTTCTTCTTTTGTTTAGCAAATTTCATTAAAATGCTAATGAAATATTGTCGGAAGTGGAAGTGTGGAAAGCGTCCAAGCGGCGCCCTCTTCCACAAAATTATATAAGTTTTTCTTTTTATTGCATTTGATGTATGAAAATAGTTTTTCATTTTGGCGCGCGCGCTTTTCTCGCCAGCTGACAGTCGTCGTTAGCCGCCTCTCCCCACCTACATACATACATATTTTGTCGCTTGACACTAAGCGGATTTTTATAGATTTTCTAGCGCGTGCTTTGTCATTGCATTCTCACTGTGGTCGCCGTTTTTCTAGCTGTCCACATCACTGCACCTTTTCTTTTTTTCTTTCTTAACAGCCCACTCTTACACATACACACAGTTTGTTGTTTTTGTTTTTCTTGTAGCTGCGCATTTGTCTGTCTCGCATTGTTTGCACATCGCCAAAGAGATCGTTCAGCGCGAGCATAGACAGATGAGCCCCGAACGTAACGAAATGCACTCTTCTCAGCTGGCATCGGCTTCCTGCGCAGTCGCAACAGAAGAGCGCAGCATTAGGCTGGTCCTTAAAAAGAAATTCCTAAGAACAAAAGTAGAGTGTTTTTATGATTAAATATTTCGAATGATCGACACTTAATGTTGACACATTTTTAATGGTTTTATATTATTTATGAACAAAATTTAAAAACTATATTATTTTGTCAAATTAAACTAGAATAAGTAGACGCCGAATTATTAAACTGCTCCCTTAGTTTATTTTTGTGTAATGTAGTTGTTAAATCGTAATAATGAATTATACTAAAACAGTTGACGAATTCTCATTATCTGAAACAAAATTTGTTAAAGTTATATTTATGGACATTTATTGGGCATTCTTTTATTTTTACAAACAAACAATACTGATGTGTTTCTATAGAATTGTGTAGCTTTGCCTTATAAACACATAATTGAACACCTACCAACCTTCTAATTACCAGCAACAATTCAAGAACATAACATGCTGCTGTCTGTCCTTGTCTCAAACTTTAACTACCGCCCATTACATTAGTCACAATCCGACAGTCATTGGATTGCGCGTTCAAGGCTCACTCTAATAAGCAGACCAGACCCACTGTGCTGAGTCATTGCGCGCTCGCGCTGGGTGTTCTGCCGTTTCAGCTTCCTAGGCCAGTGTCCGCTCATTAATCTTAGTTTAGCTCTAAGCTGAAAAGCGCTTCAGTTACAGCTTTTAAGTTGCTCTTCTATTGCTGCCCACCTCCGTTGCCCTCGACTATTGGGCGCCATCTATACACACACACACACACACACACACACACACACACAAATAGAGACATTTTCAATGTCATACCAAACGGTTGGCCCTTCAAAGCTTGAAATTGTCATTAAGAGCATAAGCACTCGCTTAGTGGGTGGGAGTGAACAAGCGAAGAGAGAAGAAAAAACAGAGAGGGAGAGACAAACAGTATTAACAGTCAGGTGTTCAAGTGTGCGTGCCGTTAGCCGTTGCTGCTCAATGCCAAATCGAAGTCATTAACATTAAAACACACTCACTAAAATTGACTAAAAGCAATTTGTTGTTGGCGCATGGAACGATGAGAGAACAAGGTACGAGTTGCCCTCGCCACCGACGCATGATTGACGTTGCCTTTGTGCGTTGTTGTTGTTGCAGTTGCTGGTTTACAGTTTGTTCACCTTGACGAAATGCACGTCAACCTTTTACACACGCACGCGCTCTCTTTCTCACACACATACACACATTGAAGGTCCTTTAGGTACAGCTTGATGTGCACATTCAAGCAGAGAGCACAGCAGCAAGCATAACAACAACAACAACAACAGTACCAGCAATGTAGAAAATCTCGCAACACCTTGAAAAATCTGAGCTTGGTTGGTCTATTATAGTAATTGTTGCCAGCGCTTGCTGTTGTTGTAGCCTTGTATATTTTCCGAGTTTTACAAAAAGATATGTGTGTGCGCCGCTTTTCCGTTCTTCCTGCCGCGGTGACGAACAAAAGGCCATGTCAGTGAGTTGCATCTGCATCTGCGCCTGCTCACAACTCCGACACAAAAACCTGGGCAAGCGGTAACCAACGCACACACATAAACCCATTAGTGTTGTTTTTGTTGTTGCTGATCCTCCTCGCTAGCTCGTCTCATCTTTTGTTTGTCAATTTTCCACTCTAGGTTACATTTTGGTCCATTGTTTGCTGTCGTCTTTCAAATCTCTAAACGTGTGTATATGTGCATGCCGTATCCTTGCTGTGTCGCATCCTGCAGCGCAGTCGCCGCTGCTGTCTTGGTCAGCAGCGCACTTTTCGCTTGTCTAAGCCACAGTTTTCATTTGGCACTCTCGCGCGACGGTTGTCCTTTACATTGCTGCTGCTGCTGCTGTCCAATCTCAGCTTTAACTTTAACAGAACCAGAGAGAGAGAGAGAGAGAAAGAGTTGATCGTTCAACCAAATTGGTGGAAAAGCTTCCGCAATCCACTCACACTTGTTCGCTCAATTGATCATCAATTTGCACTCTCACATATTGTCGCCTAACGGTTTCCACACTCCCTCACATAATGCACGCTGCAATTTTTGGCGCATTCCGTTTTGTGTCGTCCGTGCGTTTGTGTCTCGTCTCATCGTCCTCAGTGTCAGCGTTACAGAACATTTGAGTTGCATTTTGCATAATTTTATTTGTGTGACTTTCTGTGTTTAAAGCTTTTGCCTTTGACTTTAATTATTTGTGTCTACTATTTGTTCAACTAACGGCAAGCTGGAGAACTCTCTGCTTTTGAAATTGCTCAACTTATTGGCAAGACATTCGAATTCCGATAGCAATTTCGTCAAAGTCGAATTTGAACGCAGCATCATGGACTTGATACAAGAGCCGAGGTAAAAACACGACTCTGCTGCTATTATAATCATTTATACAGCTACTATTTAGATATATTTAGATATGTTAAGCAAACATTTATTTAAAACTAATTATGTGGTTTCCTTTTGCATTTATTTTTTTGCAGATTGCCGGTTAACGAATGTCAGGCAAGCCAAACAGCTAGAGTCACCTCGAACCTGCACGCATCCAGTAGCACGATGGCGGTCAGTCGTGTACCCTCGCCGCCCTTGCCGGAAGTTAATACGCCAGTTGCTGAGAATTGGTGTTACACACAGGTAAGCCACACACACACACACACACATACTATATTGGCAAACTAAATCCCGCAAAGGATTAAGTTTCAAGACAGCGGCGACATGTAAACACCATTCGTTGTCGTCTACCTTCTCTGCATTCCTATGGATTTGCTGCGTCCGTCGCAGCTGCTCGAATTTCAATTTCGTAAACCGAGTCCATTTCTGTGGCAGAGGAAAATGCATTTCCGTTGTCAGCCACAACAGGGCATTTGAGCCACTTGTTGGCAATATGCCAGCCACAAATATTACAGGATTAAGGGCCACATTTGAATCTGCACTAAAACTATCCCTGCAAGTCGCTGGTTTGCTGGAATAGCGATATTGCTGTAAAAACAGTTACAATGTTCAAAAATATTTAAGCTGTGATTCCTGTAAATACGAAAATATATTTAAAGGGTGATTTCAATTCCCCGATTGAATCTATCGGCTTTTATTTTATACAACATTTTCTACTTTCAATACCAACTTGTGGTGCTTTAGTCTTTCCCTTTTAGTCCCTACCAATCCGTCTTAAATCGCCTCAAATTACAATCATTAATCGGAATAGGTAAAGATTTGAATTCATCGAACATATTCCTCCTATTGAATAACTCGCTGTTAACGACTAAGTACTTCCCTTTTAGTCCCTACCAATGCATCTTAAATTGCCTCAATTTTCATTCATTAATCGGAATAGATAAAGATTTGAATTCATCGAACATATTTCACTTTAAATAACTCGCTGTTAAGGACTTAGCCTATCCCTACAGACTCAGCTGATGAGATACTAATCTACATTAAATCGTCTCAAATTTTGGGGTATTATCAAATCCGCCAACTTGCAGAAATCTCCTCTAATGCATTATGAATCAAGAATATAACATTATTCCAGAGTTGTAACACTAGCTTACCATTTTAGAAACCTTTTGCTAGTAAATCTAACAAGTAGGCGTACCTGCCTTTTTCAGCCCTAAAAGAAAACATTCCAATTCCCACCTAAAGTGTTATGAACGTAATATTATTTCACATGGCTTGCCCTCCTAATCTAAATCTTTCACCTTTTATTTGCTTGCAGGTTAAAGTGGTTAAATTTAGTTATATGTGGACCATAAATAACTTTAGTTTTTGCCGGGAAGAAATGGGTGAAGTGCTCAAATCTTCCACATTCTCAGCCGGTGCTAATGACAAACTGAAATGGTAAGTAAGACTTTCTTAATATTTTAAAAGCAATCACTAAGTCGATCTACATTGCTTTCGCTTTCAGGTGTTTACGGGTTAATCCAAAAGGACTTGATGAGGAGAGTAAGGATTACTTATCATTATATTTACTGTTAGTTTCCTGTAATAAATCAGAAGTCAGAGCCAAGTTCAAATTTTCAATACTGAATGCAAAACGTGAGGAAACCAAAGCAATGGAATCCCAGCGGTAAGTGCCTTTCGCCCTTCAACACTTAAGATCTTATTGATGCTTAATACGATTTCTCCATTATCCCACAGAGCTTATCGTTTCGTGCAGGGCAAAGATTGGGGCTTTAAGAAGTTTATTCGTCGCGATTTCCTATTGGACGAAGCGAACGGTCTGCTGCCCGAAGATAAGCTGACCATATTTTGTGAGGTTAGCGTTGTCGCGGACAGTGTGAACATCTCTGGACAATCGAACATCGTACAGTTTAAGGTGCCCGAATGTAAATTATCTGAAGATCTTGGCAATCTATTTGACAATGAGAAATTCAGCGATGTAACGCTCTCAGTGGGCGGCCGCGAGTTTCAGGCGCACAAAGCCATACTGGCGGGTAAGTTTCCCCCTCAACTTTATTGATGTTCTATAACTAACTGATGTACTTATCATTAAATAGCGCGCAGTGATGTTTTTGCCGCCATGTTTGAGCATGAAATGGAGGAGCGTAAGTTGAATCGTGTCGCCATAACCGATGTGGATCATGAGGTTCTTAAAGAAATGCTACGATTCATATATACGGGCAAAGCGCCAAATTTAGAAAAAATGGCTGATGATCTCCTAGCGGCTGCGGATAAGGTAAGTTATATACGAGAATAAAAAACATGAAAACTTCAGTCAATGTTTGCATGTATGAACCGTTGAATCTCAGAGACTGTAGGAGAAAGATATTTGTTTTAGAGTCGTGATCATAGAACCACATTCAATGTTTGCATGTATGAACACCAGCATCTAATATAATCCGAATAACTTATTAGGTGTTGGAAATTGAAAACATCCACAATTTCAATTTCACATTTTTTGTTAGAATTTGGAAGATATTTCTTTATTACTTAGTCATTTAATTAATTAACTTCTACATCTATTTACAGTATGCACTCGAAAAGCTGAAAGTGATGTGCGAGGAGGCGCTGTGCGTCAATCTCTCTGTAGAAACAGCAGCCGAAACATTAATATTAGCCGATCTCCACAGTGCGGATCAATTGAAAGCACAAACAATAGATTTCATAAATACGTGAGTATAAATAAATAATAAACGAGATGTTACTGATTTCTAACTAATATATTGTCATTTTCTATGTACAGTCATGCCACCGATGTGATGGAAACCTCTGGATGGCAAAATATGATCACAACACATTCACATCTGATAGCGGAGGCATTTCGTGCGCTCGCAACACAACAAATCCCACCAATTGGACCACCAAGGAAACGCGTGAAAATGAGCTGAAACCACAATGTAATCACAGCAACAACAACATCACCAACAACAGCAGCAACAGCAACAACCAGCAACAGCAACAATACCTACAACAACAGCAATAAACATTTTTTATTTATTAAAATTTTAACGGAATGCAGCAACAAATTTAGACGTAAAGCCCATACAAACCCCGGATACAACGACAACACAGCCACTACAGCAACAACACCTAACAACAATAGCATTAAACAATACAAAAAAGGAACAGCAACATTTATTGTTTCAATTAATTTAATTTTTTTAAACAATTTGATGCATGATGTAATTTTACTTTGTAATTTGTATTTTATTTTTTGTTGATTTATGATTACACTTAATGTTTACAAATAATATAAAGAATTCTATAATCTAAGTTAACTTGAAGCAACAACAACAACAACAAAATAATTAAAAGCAAAAGAAGAAGCATGTATATCTAAATATAATAATTATAATGCTAATAATAATTATAATAATATGTAATAAAAGAGAAGAGAAAACAAAACGTACGAACGATGCAGAAAATAGAAGCAACAACTCGTAACTATTATTAATTAAAGCGTACACTTTGATTGTGATGTATATTTGATGAGTAATGGATAATGGATAATGATACGGATATGATAATGAAGTTGATTTATATACACAGACTGCATATAGCTACACATATATGTGTATATGTGTGTATGTATATATGTAGGAGAAGTGCATATGTAAACTCTTTCCAAACTAAATCGAACATTTATACATTTTATTTTTGTACTTCACACACACGCACACACACACTATGGTCAGACAGGCAAACAATCCGCACTAAAATTATACCTACATATGTGCTACAAGAAACCTTTTGGGGCTTACTTTTCAAAGTCTGCTGGTATAATAGTAAAAATGTGTGTGTAAACTATTTGCATGTGTGACCGTAGAATAACAAACAAACACACACACACACACACACAACTAAGCACAGCAACAAAACGCTTTAACTTTAAAACCTTCTAAGTGCGCCATAAAACGCGTTGCTGCCTCTTCTCAGGCGGCTTTTGGAGACCACACACACACCATCGCAAAGACACACACACACACACACACACACACTGAAGGACCAGAAGCCAGCCGCATCCTGTGTGCCCAACAAATTTGCATACCTATTTAAAATGAAGCAAACAAACAGCATATTGTTATAAAACATTGTAGCTATTTCGTAAATTTTTTTATGCATCTAAGTATTTAAAAAGCCACTTCTTCTAACTTCTTTTTGTAATCTATTTAATTTTGTTGTATAAAAAAATAAGAAAAAACGTAAAATTAAAAGCAAAAATTGTCGAAATAAAACTAAAAATCATCACCTTGTGTATAATAAGCAGAAATGAATGCAAGACGTACGCCTTTTATTTTTATTTTTACAGACACAACACACCAACAGCAATACACACACACACACGCACTCACTTTAATTGTCTTTATAGTTTAAGCTTTTGATGTACAAATTAATGCATAATTAAATAGTAATTTGCCTGAAATTGAAAGATTAATGCAATATCAAATAGAGAGAAAAGCAACAAAACAGAGCAAACGTGCATAAATCAAATTAATTTGCTTTCTTAGCATCGCTTATTGTTTCATTTCAAATGTTTTCGCTTGCCAGCAACATAATTGGTAATGATAGTAGCTATATACATACATACATACATAAATAGTAACGGCATGCATGATTTGTGAATGTTAAGGCATTGCCAGCACTGCAAAGAAGAACTCATACGAAGAAGCCAAAGCCCTCTCAATATCTCCCTCACTTGTTGGCAAGCCTCTGCGGAGAGAGAGAGAGAAACGGTACTTTGGTATGCCTGGCTGCTGGTAGCCAAATAGCAAATATACAAATGAAGTAAACGTGATATACATTTTTAAAATACAAACTATGAGTAAACTTAATGAAACGTAATTAAACAATTTTTATAAAATGATGATTCAGAACAATACGCCTAATTCGTTTGGCAACTTCAGGTATTCAACAGTCCCCTACAATTTTCACATTTTCGAGAGATCGTTTTGTCATTTTTGGGCTAACTTACATAAATACACATACATACATATGTATACTACGTATATATGTGTGTGTATATTTGAACGAGAAGAGGGTTGGGTTTTTTACTTTGCAACGCAGCGCAATAAATCGTAGTTGTGTAAATATGTAGGTAAAATTGGATGATTTCAATTGTTTTAGAGCTGGAACGTTTAGTTCACCATAAGTTCATTTGAAGTGGTTCACTTTGCGCAGCAAACAGCTGTTCTCTATTATCAAAACACAATAAAAAGTTTTAGTCTTTGAAAATTGCAAGGATTTTTCAATGATAGTAGAGCCCTTAGGCGAGTGAATTTAAAGATCGGATGAATGAATGAATTGACTGATTTAGTTCACAAGCTAATAAATGCATTATTTCAATTGAACTAAAATGTCCTTGCGGGTGAATCAAAAAGTAAGAAAGAACTGTTAAGAATATCATATTTGCAAAGTTGTGATTTGTGAATTCCGAAGAGTTTTTAAATGAGTGATTTGTGAACTCAGAAAACAGTATATATGAAATTTCAAATTCCACCCACAGAACAAAAAATATGAAAGGAAAAGGAAGAAAATACATTAATATATTTATTTACATAAATATGAATTGCAACCATTTTTTTTCGTTGTCTTCGCTGTGTTTGTCACTGAGACGGGCACATGGAATGTTTAATCTAAAACTCATTTAGAAAAGCACTAGGATTGAGCTCAGCTACTGATATACTCGGAGATCGCATCAAGACATTCCCAATAAGACAATTTCAAATTATTTCTCTATAAGGTGTATAAATTCATTCCATTTTTTACACTAAATATTGTTAATATTTGATGCCATAGCTAGATGGATGAATGGATCGTATCGATAGATTTTGAAGCTTCAGTTTTCCTGCTTACAAGTATTCAAAAATATTTTGTTTGTATCGCTTGGTAAAAATGTCAATTACATTTGAATTGATACTGATTGGAATTTTAGACGGTGTTAATCAAACTCGTTTATATTCAGTTTATAGTCAGAAATAAACATAATTTACACACATTTTTTGAGTTTCCTAAATGTTTTTTCAATAAAACCGAATAACAATTTTAAAATATGGGTTTCTTAATGGAAATCATTTTTCAGACCTACTCTAGTCTTACACTTATGTATATCATGTATGAATTATAATTATTTTTAAAATGCAAATTAAAATCAGATTTAACGTTTTTACTTTTGATTCACCCGCACGAACAGTCTTAGCCCATAATTATTAAAGTATTTGTTGGATATAACTTCGAAAGCACGTCTAAGGCAGCTCAGGCGATATGGGAGGCCACTGTTTTTAAACTTAAATGACAGTTACATTGAATAATAGTAATGCTAATAAAAAATACCTAAATCTGTTCATAAAGTCATCAATTAACTCGCAATATTGAAGGCGGATTCTAAGTTAGGCAACAAATTTAAATAAAGCGTTTATTTTTATGTGTGTAGCGTTCAGAAAAATTGAGAAAACGAAGCGTAATAATTACAAATTAATGTTATTTATAAGCAGTTAGGAAGGACGACTAAACTACAACTTAGCGAAACGGCAAAATAAATATCAAGTAAATAAATTTAAACAATTGACAAATTAACTGAGACATTTTTATGCATGCCAATCTAAATGTTTGTAGAAAACGACGATGCCCTAAAATGATAACGAAATATAATTGAATTATAGAGTTAGCAATAACAACAACAAAATCAACACGAGCAACATTTTTAATGAAGCAAAATTGTAATTGTATTGAAATTATTAAACGAAATCGAAAACAAATATATATATATAAAAACAAACTATAATAAGTAATAAATTAATAATATGTTCTAAACGGAGGCACTTCTTCACCCGCTCCGCTCACTTCTTCTCATGCTCGTCGACAAACTGCTGCAGCAATGCCCCATCAATCGGTATGGTCAACTGCTCGGAGCCATCGACATTGCGCTTCGACTTCACCAGCTTGTGATCCAAGAACTCTGTTAGCTGGGCACGCAGCGCCAAGTCCGAACTGACGAGAAAGGCCTCGCGACAACTGGAGTACAAATCCTTAAACGGCATGCCCTGATAGTTCTGATTCCCCTTGTTCTTCAACTGAAACTTAACGATCAGCATGTAGATGCCGCGCGAATTCGTGGTCAGCGAAGAGAAGACGCTGCGCATGGAGGACAGGGCCAGTTCGCCAGAATTCTGCACCATCAGCGAGTTCTCGAATGCCGTCTCATCGCTATAAGGCAGCATTGTGGTGCAGTCCCACCACGAGAAGTTATAATTGCTCAGCTTGTTCTGATCCCACACTGCAAAAGACAACGATCTATAAACCTTTTGGCTTTCTCCCGCTTTCGATTTGAGGCAATTTGTTCCTTCGATTCTTTTTATTAACGATTGAAGGATCGTTTTCAAAATCGGCCTCAAATCGAAAAATACGGCATACTTACACAAGGGCGTATTGATGTGATCAATGGAAGCAAGCAGATGGATGTTGGATACTCGCGCTAGGCGGGATAATATAGCCTGTGCCTTCACATTGCGCAGCATGGCACCATCCAAGTTGTGAACTATGAGGTACAAATGTGTATCTGGTATGAGCGCGAATTCCTCCTCGATCATATCCACCGCTTCGTGTGGATTCGCTGGACTGTTGCCGGCATCCAGTATTTCGCCGATTATGCTATCGAGCACGTCCTTCACCGTCAGACTGGGAAAGAAACCATTGACCACAAGCACAGTTTGCTGAGCCAACACTTCGTGATGAAATGCCTGCAGGAGTTGACGCTTGGAGCCGAGTCCGTAAAGGAGAATATTGAAGCCCTCGTTTAGAATGCACAGCCACTTGGGAAAATAGCTGCGATACTCCTCCATAATGGCATTGATGGCCGTCTCATGCTCAGTGGATAGTTTCATTTCGGCCAGGAGGCTGAACAGACGATCAGCGGCTAGGCGTGGATTCTTTAGACGATCCAGCGTGTGATCGGAGGTAAGGATTTTGCTGCTGGCATGAGAATGAAAGTAGCCGTCGCTCTCGGGCACATACTCATTGGACTTTTTAGCCCGTGCCGTTTGGCGTAGCCGCGCTGCCGACGGAGTCTTGGGCAGCACCGGCACCACAATGGTACGGCGAGTCTTGCAGGGCGTTTTAGGCTCATCATCAGCCGCATCGTTGTCGGAAGTGCCATCCGCGTTTTCGCTGCTGCTGCTGCTACTGGACTCTTCCGCATCGCTGGGCTGAAAGTCGCTGTCATCGGCCGAAAAGTCCTCATCGGAATTGTTCACAATTTTTGCAATATCTGTGGAGCGAAATCAACTTTAAACTGGTCAATCAAATCAAGTTAGAAACCTCAAAAACGTACGTTGCTTGACGCGGCTGCGCACATGTGATGGAGTTTTGGGCTGATCGGCGGCTCTCTTGCGTTTCGTGTCTGGTGTTTTGACACCCAAGCGCGGCGTCTTCGGTGTTTTAGGGGTCTTGGGTGTGCGAGGTGTGGCGCTGAGCGCAGCCATGGCCATGCCATCCCGTTTTTTGGGCGTATTAAAGCCAAACATGCTGCTGCCCGCCACATCGTAGGCCTGTATGAGCTGCACATCCGGATTAGCTGGAGCTTGCTGCTCATTTTCCACATCCTCTTCATTGTCTGTATCCAGGTCTTGGATCTCATCGTCGGTGCGCTCATCATAAGCGCCTACTTGCCGGCGTTTACGAACCGCCTGCCTTTTATCATCAAAAACTTCTTTACAGTACTCCCGATACCTTTTGGTGGGGCTGGGGTTACGGGTAGAGCGCCGTGTTCGCTGCTGAGGCAAACTTTCATCGGACTCTTCAATCTGTGCAGAGTCTGGCTCAGCACCGCTGGAGTCCTCTGAATTGGTTAGGTTTTCGATCGCCTTTAAATTGCTTGATTTTGCTTGGCGCGCTTTTGTTGTGCTCTGCTTCATTGGCGTTTTGTACCCGCCGCTTACTTGCGCTTTCGAAGGAGTAGTGCTCATTTCGTATAGTATTAGTTAAGTTTCTGGAATGTTAAAATATGCCACGGTAATGTTTACAGAAATATATAATTGCGTTCGCAAAAACCGCGGGATTTCTTCCTCTTCTAAAATGATGTTGAGCGAAATTGCTGTGATTTTGTCACGGTCACTGCGAAATTCAACATTTGTGAGCAGTGGCCAATAATAATAGTAGGTGGCCAGATCAATAAAATATAAAAGGTTTTGTGGACATTTCCTAATTCAAATTCAATTGATCATACGTTGAATTCCAAGGCAGCACTCCCGGGAACACGCAAATTTGCTCGTCGGATGCGGAAAAAACACAGCCGTGGCCTTCATCGCAATTCCCATAGATATATGTACCGCAAATGTTTATTTTAATCTTCATCTTTAATAATTACAAATTATTTCACAATAATGGCTCACTTTGGGTCAAAAACTTTTTGCTCATTTACTTCTCAAAAATATTCTTGATGCTCATTCCACCAATGCCATCCATTGTTGAACATGTTGACGGACGCAAGATAGGAACATTTATATTCTGCAATGTCGCTTCTTCGCAGCAGTCTGGCAGCTCTAAGGTTGCCGGTATTGCTGTGAAAGTGAGCTTTGGCGTGCGTCTGTGTTTGAATCTTGAAATTTCTCTAATAATTTTGTGGACGTTGTAATTTAGAACAGGTAATCACATTATTAGCAATACATATGTATTTCGCAAAATTAAATTTCGTTGGAGGTGTTAATTATAAGCTCAAAGGTGATTGATTGATTTGTATTTGATTTTTCTATACCCTTTTCTCAGAAACACCGTTAGGTCGGCCATTTTGAATGAATGAATAAATATTCATTCTTCCATTCGACGTCGAGTACGCTGTGTGGTACAATTTTTGGATTTACAATTGAATTACTTTAAGAATATTGTAAAAAATTGCTACAATGTCACAAACGAAATATACCAGGATGCTAGAATGCGTTTTGTGCGGCAAAGTGGCCGATTTAAAGTGCCAACGTTGCAGTGAAAAATATTGCAGTGTAGTCTGCCAGCGCCGGGACTGGCAGCGTCACAAATACGTGTGCATGCCCATGCCGTAAGTGTACATAATAATATACATATGCATGTATGTATGTATGTATAAGAAAGATCAATTTCTAAACACCTTCGAATTCCCATTTCAGGCCGCTGGTGAAGGCTCATCATGGCTCTTGCGAATCCATCGCAAAATTGAGCCAGTTCCCAGTGCAGAGTGACGCCGGCGTCGCCGCTGCTACTGTGCCCACCAACTCAGAAATGCCTGCGGCTGCTTCTGCAAGCAAGCCACCGGTTACCGAAGAGCTGTCAACGTTGTGGCGCGATAAGATGGTTCCAGATAAAACCGATTTCTTCGAGTGCTGTGTCACATCTATGGACACCTATGATGGTTCCATTTGGGTCGTTGATGTGGCTCAAAGTGTGCGCCTGGAGCGGCTTACCGAAAACATGGCGCGTTGTATTAATCGTAACAAACATTACAGCTTTGATGAGCTCACTGTGGATCAACTTGTTGGCGTTTGCAAGGACAATAAAATTCATCGTGGTCGAGTGTTGTCGCTGTGCACAGAAACGCAGCGGGTAGAGTTGCTCTTAATTGACTCTGGCTTCGTAGCTATGGTGAATGTTGTGGATATTTATCCACCGGTGCCGCGTATGGCCGCTTACAAAGCCTTTGCTTTTCGCGTCCATTTGCCTACCAATACCGGCGTACAAATCAATAAGAAACTAACGCTGCGTCTGTTGGGCGAGAGATCTCCAGATGGTGTTTATCCGGCTCAGCTAAAGCCAACGATGACCATTCCATTAAATTTGCCTGTCCAGATGCTGGCAATTAATCCTGAAGTAACCGTGGTACATGTTTTTGAACACACAGCTAATGAGCCAAAGGTGGCGTTACTTCAAATTGACGTGATGAAAAATTTAAATGCTGATTTAAATGCAAGTCTAAAAGATAAGCCAGATGAGCCCATTCCCGAAGGTCCTTATGTGGCTGCCCGCACTGCTCATGGCTATCGACGAGCCTTTCTGTTGGGCTTCATAGAGAAGCCTAAGCTCACATATCTGGTATATGAAATGGACGAGGGTCGCATCAACATGACTACAGAAGTGCGCCGCATTCCCAGCGAGCTCTGCGGACATCCATTGCGTGTGTTTTCCGTCAACGTGATCGACAAAAATGGAATTGATAAATTGCAGGAGCCTGGCATAAAATTACAGATTAAATTCAAATTTGATAATGAGAAAGATCAGGAGAAGTTACGCATGTGTAGCGCTATACTCTTAACCTCGGATGGAGCTGAGATTGCAGTGCGCGCTAATACTTTCCAAGGGCCCATTAAGGATCTAGGACTGAAGTACTGGCGCAGCCCAATAGAGGACGGGGCAATAGTCTATATAACAAAGGTCATCGGTTATAATCAGATTTGCATTAATTTGTGGCTAATTAAACAATACGAAGGGATTTTCAAGCAGCTTGAAATGAAGTGTAAGCCATGCGGCGAAGTGGCCGTTGGTAGCATTGTGCTGGTCACTTGCCCCAAACTCGGTTATTTCCGTGGCGAGGTAAGCTACTAGAAGAACTTTCCAATTTATTTTTTAAAACAACTATTTTCGTGCTAACTTATGTCTTTTATTATCTTAAAGATCACTGGCGTGAAAAACAATCGCTCAACTGTGCTTAACATTGATACTGGCGTTAATTTCGACGTCGACAATAACCAATTGCGCATCGCCTGCCCATTTATCGCCAACCTGCCGGTGCACCTCACCTATTGCAAATTGAAAACAATATCAGATATGCCAGCAGCTGCAATTTTGGAAAATTGCGAGGCTCTGCGCATTTTAAATGTCCTTTCTCTTCTCGAGGAGAATATGCGCGTCGAATATGATGAAGATCGAGCTTATGTGGATTTGATTTCACATACTGTAGAACCGAATTCCCTGGTAACCCGAATATTGCCGCTTCTCTTCAAGCCCTCTACAGAAGAGGCTCCTAAGCAGGCTCTGCCACCGAGTGTATGCACACCATCGCCTGAAAAGCATAAAGATAGGCTACAGAAACCACTGGAAGTGCCGGAGCCTGATAGTGTGTCCTCATTGCCACCTCTGCCACCGTCGCCGCCAAGGTCACCGTATCCGCTAGCATCGCCGGAAGTAAGAAACATGAGTCTCATGCGTCTCGACGACCTTTCCGAAAACAACATTGAGCGCTACTTCTTCGATGATTTGCCGAAAAATCTTGTACCATTGGGTAACCAATCCAATGTACTTGTTCTGAACGTAGCAGGACTATCCGAAACTGGCAATATAATGGCCTGCTCTTTTGCTAACGAAATGGTGGCGGAAAATTTCCAGGTCGTGCTCGATCTTGTTCGCAGCCATGGCAGTTGTTCCCATAAGGGATTACCAGGCTATGTGCCCGGGTAAGTGTTATTGCAATGAATATTCAATTATATCTATATGTTAATTATTAGAAGAGATTGAAGAGGCTTTTCTATTAGGGTCATATTTTACTTCCGCGTAAGCTTGATAAATCAAAGTTTTCGGATTTCACATTCTTCAGTCTTCTTTTACTGCATAATTTAAAAGGCTTCCCCGAAAATGATCAAGATATGTTAAACCATTTAACAAGTCTGACTACAACTAAACTTTAGAACGTCATACAAAAACGGAATAGAAATAGAATCCCTCTCCTATGCATAACCATATTAATAAATTAAAAACGTTATCGGTTCAAAGTGTGGGTGAAATGTGCATTGCTGTGTATAGTGGAGACGGATCCTGGTACCGCGGCGTCTGTCGAGAGGTTTACAAGAATACCGCTCGTATCTACTATTGCGACTACGGCAACATCGAGGAAGTACCCTTCGACGGCCTAAAGCCTATTTCAAGCGATATGCTGCATGCTGTTCATGCCACAAAATGTTTTATTAAGGGTAAGCGTTGCGTTTCGTTTCATTACGTTTCTTTACTAATATTTTTCATTTTCAGGTTTTGACAAGGGAAAGAACTTCAAACTAGTTGAGCAGTATTTGGAGGCCAATGACAAAATGGCGTGTTTTGTGGAGGAGGGCTCTGAACCCAATTCTCGCATCATCACCTGGCCAATGTTACATAAGATTTTGTCCGCAGAAGTCCAATAAAGGACCGCTCTACTTATTAACTCTGACTTATGTACGAAAAATATGTATTCGTATGAGAAATTTAATTTATGAAACTGACACTTTTCATTTGACCACATGGATGAATAATGAATATCCTTAATTTTATTTTTATTTCACGATATTGAATACATTTCTAATTTTGTGTTGAATGCTCCTCAGAAAATAAAAAGTAAAATTTAACTATCGAATTATATATTTTATTCGCAATTGCTAGGACTTAAGAAAAACTAAACTAATCTATAGATAATTTTGAGGTTTACAAATGAATTGAGGACGACTTTTTTTTTTTGGAAGTCGTTCAACAATCAGATACGCATGATAAACATATTAAGCGTTAGCTGTAAACGGTAAAGGCATGCCTGTACGTTTCGGGTATATAGTGATGTAATCTTTTGTTTTCAAAAAGTTGAAAAATTATTTACATAATTTTTTTTTAATTTTAAATTATATTATTACACTGTCAAGAATCTGGTAATACTTTTTTGTAAACTTATCGTCATTAAAAGACACTGAACTTTTTATGCCACTGAAATGCTCGATTTATGTATAGTATAAACTCCCCAAAACTTTTTCAGTTTTAAACAAATTCGTTGAATTTGTTTTTCCATATTGAAAATTGTCAAATTGTTCGCGTCGTCAACAAATTTCTAAACACCCACTAATTAACATAATTAAGGTAAACAGATTCTGTTACGCGCGCGTTTTAAATGGACCAGTTGGGATTATTCTAGACCTCTCCATGAATTGTGCCGTCGAATATCATTCCAATGGGAACACACAATCTCAAATTTTCGTTCTACCGCTCTAAATGCAAATGCTAGAAAAGTCTAAATCTTTAACTAAATCAAATACGATTTATACAAGTATGGATACGATTTTTTGATGGGTTTCAAAACAAAATAGGTGAGCTTTTTAACTGCGTAGTGTTTAACAAATTTTTAATATGTAACATTTTGGTTTATATCAAGAGTATTATAATTAATGTTGCAGAATGCTTCTTATGGTACATATATTTAAGTTCTGATATTCAGCAAAGTTTGGTAAATGCGATTGTCCGTTCAAAAATGTAAACAAATGCTAGAGGTAGTTCTCTATAGTTCATTGAGCTTATCAATCAACTGATTGCATTGGAGAAGGGCCATGTCGTGTAAGTAGCTTACACCATCAATGTTGAACATTTTGTTTATTTGCAGGTTTTCCTTTAAATAGGCAGCCTGAGCATCATTCAGCTTGTGGGGGAATCCTAAGATTGTAGATTGATTAGATATGCTTTCTGTTGCAAAAAGCTTAGCTATTATGGAACTAACCTTCAATAAGACAAATATTTGTGCTACAAGGCACAGTCAAGTCAGTGGGATAACGACGTATATCTTCAACAGTCACTGTTTCTACATTGGTGAAATCGATGTAATACACCGTGTATTTTTTTGGTATCGTGTTTTTTATTTCCGTTACCCTGGCCCGAAACCATTCACCATTATATTTTGCTATGACATACTCGTTGAGGCTGTTGGTATGGATACTTGTATGAAATTTTGTTTTAGACCTTGGAAATAAATGTTTACTTACATCGGTTCATAGGCTTCTGAATCATTAAGTTTTTTCAAATATATATAAATGTTGGCATGATTGCGAGCGTGTTTTAAATCAAAGGCACCAACAATGCCTCGCAAAATACTCGAATTGTCTACGATGTAGGCTTTCAGTCCGTCCTTTGTATTGGTATCTAGACGGCATATTTCGAAGGGCTGTAAAGAGAAGCTGAGCTGCCTTCGTTAAATACATAATTTAAACAATACATACGGGAGTAAGAACGGGAGTTTTCTCCGGTGTAGAGGCACCCGTGATATCAGACTTAATGGCCGGGAGACATTTTTCATCACTGGTTGGCTTTTCTATATCTTCGACCATCTGGGCGTTGCTGCTTTCACTAAACTTTTCTGGAGATATTTGGCGCTCTTTAGTTTCTGTGGCTGTCTTTGGTTCAGCTTCCGGAATGGAAGTTGAAATTTGATCATTTCTCTTTTCGAGTAGTTCGAGAATGCTGGCTGCAGACTTCTTTATTTCTATAGGTTCTTCTATGGCTACAGTAGTTGAGTTTATGGCACCATTTATAGCTTGTGGATTAGGCAATGCCTTCGTTTCTACGATGTTGAGCTCCTCTTTTTTAATTTCCTTGGCCAGAATTCGTTGATTTAGTGATACATCAAGTGCCCTCGCAAAGTTTTTGTACATCTGCGCTTCGTGTAATAAATTATTGCGTTTGTTCTTTAGATCATTGTCTGGCCTAGTCTGTCCATAGAGCTCTCTATTGGCGCAAAAATCACGAATGTGTTGATTTAACGATATATTCGATCCGATGAGAAATAGTTCCACATCATATTCCATGCCATATACGATATTAAACGATTTACGTTCGAACAACGCTAAAAAGTTGAGGATATCATCAGATGTGGCATAGTTGGGCACATCCTTTAATTGTATCTGCAGACAATAGCAGGGCAGCTCTAAAATCTCATGCGGGATTTGGCGTAAGTCGTCAATTTTGCGTAGCTTGGTCATGCCATGATCAATGAAGAGCACGCGCGCAATATGTTTGTTCGTAATAGCCAGCACCTTAACACGATGATATATTTCGTTCGCTGCGATCAGAGCATAACTATTTATCTTTACACTACGCAATTTTGGCATTTTCTGGCCGCACACATCGATCTGTAATATGAGGTTTAAATGTTAGCAAGATAAAACAAGAAAGGAATGCTAAAGTCGAGCAGGCTCAACTCTTAAATACCCTATACCACCCCACAAAAAAGAAATTAAATTAATTAATTAAATTAATTAACTTAATTAATTTAATTAACTAAATTAAATATAAAATATTCTATGCATGCATACATATACATTTACATCAGAATCGTGCCTTATGCGTGCTTGTGTACTTGTACATATGTATGTATGTGTGCATTGGGCCTGGTTATATGGCTATAACTTTCTTTCCGATCATTCTATCATAATGAATCTTGGTATACGGATATATAATAAAACTGGATGTGTCTACCAAATTTTAGTTCAAAATTCCAAGAATTACGGGAGTTATAGAAAATCGTTAATAGGGGGGGGGGGGGGGAGTGGGGGGGGTGGATCAGAAAAAAATGAACAAACTCGTCCTTTCTCGGTCTCAGGAGAATCTGTATACCAAGTTTGGTTATTCTAGCTCTTATACTTTCTGAGATCCTTGCGTTCATACAGACAGACAGACGGACATGGCTATATCGACTCGGCTTGTCATGCTGATCAAGAATATATATACTTTGTGGGGTCTACCAAGCCTCCTTCTGTGTGTTCCATGTGCACTCGCACAAAACTAATATACCCTTGTACCCTTTGCTGTTCTATAGACTTCTGTTTCCTATTCAAAACTTGGATATAGTAAACCGGTTTTGAATACCCATCATATCTGTAGTATATAACGACAGACTTCCTAACATGCATGTTAATATCAGGCATCAGCTTCATTTGAGATTGTATTTATGTCGATTCGGCTTCTCGTGCTGCAGACGTCATTCATGCATACACACACACATATGTATGTAACTGTTTAGGTTACACATGTATAAACAATAAATATACATATGCATGCATACAAACCTTCTCACAAATTTCAAAATATGCTTTATCAGCAGTTTCATTGGCAGCGCGCACACTACAGCGGTTTGCTGAACGGAACCCGGTTACAGTTATAGTACTGTTGCTTGGCGGCATCTTTATCATTGGCGGTACGCATTTCTTATTATTTCCCATCTTATTATTTCCACTTGATTCAATGGATTCGCAGCTGCTTGCGTTTATATTGTTGCCAATGTTCATGCCGTTTTCAGAAGTCGGGCTCCTATTGCTCGAGTGATCCAGCACAGGTGCTGTCGGGGTCACAACTTCATTTACTGGGCGATTGTAGTTCTTTTTGCTATTATCGGGGCTTTTTGCCGGAGAAGCGACATTCGGTTGAGTCTGTATTTTTGGTACTTCCTTGTTTGTTATTTCACAAGCTAGTATTTTATTGTCCTCTAGTTTTTTAAGTGCCGGCGCTGGGGGCAGTGGCAATTCAATTCCTGCTAAGGCAGAGCAAGCCTTGGGATGCACCAGAGATCTGCAAATGCACAGTTAAGCGGAATTACAAAAGTTCACAAGGCGGCGCATTACTTACGGCATTGAAAAACAAATATAACGATGACGCTGCCAGTCAAATGTCTGACATTTCTTCGAGCAGTAGAAATCGCCGCAACGATGACAAACTAATTTTGCTTCGCTCTCACAAAATATGCAAACGCCGACAGATTGAGGCTAAAAAGTGGGGGTTTTGAAGAATAAGAAATGACGAAATAACAACAATTTGCTTACCATTATCTTCGTTTTTATATTTTGTTTCGAATCACTTTCATTCAGTGGTAATACTTCTGCGGCTTTATTCGCTGCCATTGTATCTACTACGGGGTTTAAATCTAGCGTCTAAAACTAAGCTTTGGCGAAAACAAACGTCCGCGCACTGCGCAAAAAACGAATAGGAAATAATAGAGTATGACTATCTCTTATCGTATGAATGTTATCGATTATCAATTACTTTCAGTGCTTGATACTCATTGCTACAACACGCACAGTTTCGCAGCAGGCAGCCCTAACTATTAAGCGTTATATTCGTTTCGTTTTGAATTTGATTTAGGTATCATCAGCTCCGAAAATATAATTTTAACGATGCAAAACAATTGTTATAAGATTACACACATATACATGGGAAATAAAAATTGATTTAAATTTATTATTGTTCATTTTTCGGCATAAATTAATTTCCTTAGTTCGTCTTTTGCTGCTTTCTTCAATAGCTGTGCTATATATCTACTCTTTTTTTTTGCTGGTGCTGGCCTCGTCGACGCAGTTAATCATTTCATCGATAATTGGCTGCCTTAGCATTGCAATTGGGGATGTCTTTATTCGGCTTATATATGTATGTACGAGTATGTACAAGTATTGCTGTTGGTATGTAGTTATCCAGCGCTGTAATGGGGCGAGCCAATTTTTATAGCGTGCACAACACTCGGACAGTTTAATTGAGTATCGACATTTATTAATTTGCGATCATACCATGCCCAGGAACTAGCCAAGGAGGCATTCTTTTAGTCCAAGCAGGCTGGTCATTATGGTCTGCCAGTGCTATACAAGTGCTTTTTTCGATCGATTTTTATTTGCGTTTATATGCCGTTCCTTCCCAAAATCGTTTTCGAGTAGCTCCATGACTTTTCAACACATTAGCCAAAATATTGAGATCTGCATCTGCACGGTTTCCAAAGAGGCACGGTGGCAGGTACAGGTAAGGTACACACAGTAATTAGGCCGCTTCATTAGACACACATGTCCATCAAGTGCAGCAGCATTGGGGGAAACACTTGCCAGAGGGTACTGCCACAGCCACACCACATCCTTGCATATCGGGCTGCTGAAACGAAGCTTCGTGTTGGCTCTTTTATGCAATTAAGCCAGGCGCTCACTATTTGAATTACAGCAGCAGCAAAGCCGTTGCACAATGGTGTAAATGGCAGCAATACTGATCAAAAATTAAACATTCCTAATTGATTTGAAAAAAAAGTCCTGTGGTTCTAAATGGGATTATATACTAGGTCCCTTCACTACGTCTTTGTTAAATGGTTTATAAGAGTGCATTACCCCATGTTCGATAGCTTTTGAACAATCTTGTTGGCTATCCATACCACAGTATGTTTGGAGTTGGAATTGAAGTCGAAGCCGAAGTCGTTGGCCAGCCCCATACGCGCCTCGGTGTATCACGAATTGGCAATTGAGAAGGCGCGCAATTTGTTGCTGCCGCCTGCCTGGTCGAGATCCTCTTCTACTCTGCGTGTGGAAGAACTTCGGGAACAGGGAAAACAACAGCAACAACAACATTTGTGTCTGTGCCGCGACGTTCGCTCGTCAGCTTTTGAGCCAATAATTATGGTTATTAATCGGCTCGAGAATTGGCTGCTAATTTGCAGTTTAGTTACAAATCTGGCCGCCAGCGTGCAATTACCCGCTTAAATTATAGCTTCAAAATAAACAAAACGCCGAAACGGCGCGCATATCTCGACCATCCTGAAGATGCTGATGTGGTGATCTGGTGTTGTGGGACGTGTGACGTGTATTTTGAGAATTAGTGGCAGCTGCATAGGATAGTCAAATAATCTAGTTAAAATAAGTGTGTGGTGGAGAAATAAAACTGAAATAGTGGCTGGCTTACATACAGGATTTCGTGATTGCAATACCATAAAATTATTTTGAATTGGGTTGAACAATTATTACTTTTAAGATTTGGAACCTACTTACTCGTACTTATTGAGTGTACACTAATAATATTGACTACTACGACTATGCCAAGACTACAGTTGGGACAAGTCTTTGGTACTTACATATCTTGGAAATTAATATTTAGTAACCAATCTAAGAATAATAGCAGGAGTATGTCCCCCATTCTTAGGTGGACGTTCCTAAAATAGGTGTTAAAGATTTTCCATAATTTGAAATATACTTGGACGACAGAAGGAAACAAGTTCGTCCCCATAAGTACATATGATTCATAATCTTTATGACGAGAAAAAGCGATCCAGACATGACTCTAAACTTTAGATTTAGACTCTGCAATTCAACGCAGGCTGCTGATGACTGGGAACATTATGTTCTGGGGCGCTCTTCATGGTGCGATAATGGTCCAATACATCAGAAAAAGTGTTTTATTCAAAAAAATTGGTACGAAATTCCAGTAGAGAGTTGCAGAAACCATTTCTCAAGTTTGCTGAATAGCCACTACTAAAGGGAACTACAGATTCTAACATTAAGATCTGATCAAATGAGGGATATAACCACTACTGAAGGGAACTACAGATTCTAATATTAAGATCAGATCAAATTAGAATAAAACTACATTTGTTAGCATTCATCTCTTATTATCAGTCTTGGAAATATGAAGTCTTAAGAATGTATTCGAGAAATTTTCCATATAAAGTCGACCTTACGTTCATTATTATGACGCACTATTTCGCCTTTAAATGGAATAGAGTTTTGTTGTTGTAGTTTTTTCATTGATCATATGCATAAATTATTTTTTAAATGCATTGTGCAATTTTTAATCAAACATTTTTTTTGGGCCCCCCTTTGTAAAGGCTGCGTACGCCCTTGGTTGTTTGCTTTTAATTGCATCCCTGGTTTTGGATGCGTATGTCCTTATCGATTATATCGGCGACGGAGACCTCATCAGTTAATGATGCCCCAAACGGTGGTGTGGCAATCACTGCCTAGAACCGAACCTAATTGGAAGTCATCGGTAAATCAGTCGGCTGGGAACGTACGCGGGGCGTTACCCAATCATGACTTGATGGCACAACCCCCTAGACTTGAGCGACTGCCCGACTTGAGTGACTGTCAAGGTGCGCGAGCAACACAACTGGCTCGGCGCCCCTATCTCGGATGCACGCTGTGCACGATCGGCAAGGCAACAACAATAACAACAACTACAACAATGTACAACATAATTTCCAGGCAAGTCGGGCAACCTGGCAACCTGGCAAGGCAGCTGAGTGCAACAATTTCAGAGGCGCTCGCATTACGTGGCCGTGCAACACTTTTAGGCCACAAAATCAAATCGTGTGCTGTTTATTTAAATAACCATAATTTACCACTACCAACGCAAGCGCAGGCGCTATTTATTAACCCACAACACACTCACACACACGACGCTAAGTGGGCTCGATTTTATGGCCGGGACTCGCTCTCGAACTCGAACTCAGACTCGGACTTGGACTTGGTTGGGGAGGGGCTGGGGCTGATTTGCTTCCAAGCTGCCAAGTGGATTAGATTGGATTGGATTGGATGAGATGTGCATGATTTTCTACGCTTGTGAACATAAAAATTCAATTTAATTTGTTCAGAGCTGCGCTGAGGCCCTTAGCAGGAACCAACGTTTTGTCTGCCGTAATGAAAATTTAGCCCAGTATCGCTTCAATGTTGTTATTGACCTGCACATTGTTGTTATTATTGGATGTGTGGGTTCATTTTGTTGTGGGTGTGTGGCTGCTGATGGGACAGCTTGTATGGGGGCCTTAGTTGCTGCTACATATAACCAAGATAAGATAAGATAAGATGGTATAAAATAAAATATGCTGCTGAGGTTTAATTTGAATTTGAAACGTTCTTTGACACATTTTCTATCCATAATTTCTCAATTTCCATTGAACTGGGGACTAAGGTTGTAGGTTGTTAGTTATTTTAACTAGCAGTAGAATTTAAAGTGAAAACTTTTTTTTTATTATTTATTTATTTAGTAAATCAGGTGTTGTGTTTTAGGTTCTGTGTGCATAGAATCAGAGTTGCTGAGTTCACAAATGTTTTAGAGATTGAAAAAGCGACCCCGGCTTACAACTTAATAATGCCTTGCACCTACTATTTTTATTTACAAATTTTTTGGTTTAATTACAGCCTGGGATCGTTATTAAGATCAGTATTGTCAACATTATAGATAGTCGGTTTGGGGTGCTGTGGTTCCATTTAAGTTTTGCTGTTCGAACCGATCTCTGATTGATAGGCTTCGCTTCTGAGGGTTTTTAAGAGGGGCAGGTGAATTTTCTAATTGGTATAAATAGTATGCACATGTGAGTAAGCGGTGTGGCGGCAATGGGCAAGTTTTTAGTAATATACATATATACCGTTCTATAAATGAATTGTGGAGCTCAAACCATACCCCAGCTATTTATTACGACTGTATAAAATTCAAAAGGCGAATAACATGACTATTAACTTTTTTTTTTTAAAGATTCGTCATGAATTTAAGAAAACACCTAATTCTGTTTTCACACGGTAGATTGGTTTCTAAAAAAGTGTGAAAAAACCGTGTAAAAAAGACATTGGTCATATGAAAAATCGAGCTAAATGGAATAAAGTTTTTTAATTTTCAAACCGTGCAAATAAAAACCGTGTAAAAACAGAATTAGGTTTATTCTATAATAAGTACAAATATAAGTATTTCTTAGCTACGACCATATTTAATTTGCTTTTTAATTTCGCTCTAAACTATCTATAAAGACTCTATGAAATACTTTCTTAATGAAATTCGAACCAAATTCCTTTAAAAAGTATTTAAATGCCATTCTACTTGTATGTACTTTTAAAGAGTATTGTTCCGATGTCTTTTAGAACTAAGTTAGTTCGCAGCGCCTTACAATATTTGAGATCCTTTAAAGCCTAAAATTTTTTGGACAGTTTGAGACTTGGCGGGTGCATTTGCATATTGCTGTCCTATTTAATTACTTTAAATTAATTTCGTATTATAATTTACTTCTCTCCGATTATTTGTATACAGTATACACTTTATATAAAGCGCAATCTTTGCCTTTCGGTTCGATTTATGATCGATAGCTGCTGGCACGATCCCAGACACCAAGGAAGATTACATCGTTTGATTAGCAGAGCGCGAGAAACCGCTCAAGTACGTCAAGTTAAGAAAAATGAGCTTGTTAACGCTCAATGAT